AGATAATGAATGAAACAAAATGACCCCAGCTCTAGCACACATGCACAGATCAAGCACTTGGAGATCATTAGGGAAGGTGACAGTATTTTATTTCTGAAGAATGGGTATCTATCTTAGATATTTTACTTCTTATTCCATTTTACTTAGGAGATGCTGAGCCTAGTAAAATTGTTTTCCCTATTACTATTATGTCGTACCAGTTTGCTGATATTTTAAAAGTTCTTTTTCTATGATCTCACTAATTTCCTCAGAATTCTATTTCATCTACATTTTTCCATCTGCTTTTTAAAAAGAAACATTGCTTACGTCTTGGTACCAGAAATTCAAATTCTACAGAAAAGGTCAAAGAAAATGAAAGGAAACTCTCCCAGCCATGTAATATAGTAGAACAGCTAAGCTGCATTGTTATACGCTTGTGTTTTGTCCTTTTGTGTCTGTTATGTAAAGTATTTGTATTAAGCTATGATGCTGTGCATTATATTGATATGAATTGTCAGAAAAAAACTTATTTACTACCAGTGGTCTGTGCTATTTTTAAGCAAGCAGTTTGGAATGATGATAACTTCTAATTGGGCTGCCCCAAGAAAATGGAAGTAAAAACAATTTAAGTAATTGCAACCTGTGGTCTGTGTCAGCTGTTGGATAGGGATGGCCTGTAGCAGGGTTATGCAAGTGTTCCTGTTCACTGACCATAGCACCTGTCTTTGAAACTGTTCTGCTCAAGGATGTTATTTTATGTTCTCCATCTGAAACAGTCTGGAGGATGAGTATTGAGCTGGCTAAATACTAACTTTAGCTTGCACTGATCTTTACTGGAACATAAAGCACAAGACTGTTGATTATATTTCTGAGTCGCAGTCCTCCAGCAGTTTCCCATGTGTTTCACTGATGCTCAGTGCCCTGATATCTGCAGGCAGATCTTCTCAGGGCAATTTACACCTGGGCAAAAGGTCCCAAGACAAGCAGAGGTTTTAAAATATGCATAGGATGTTGTCTGACTTTATGTAGGTCAGCATATTTAATCTATGAACAGAGTTTTTGTTTAATCCCTGTAATGTTTTTAAGCAAGCTTTTCTATTTGTCATTACAAATCAAAATCTTCTGTTGAAGGCTGTGTTTAAACTGGTGTTAGGTACTCATTTCACTAAGTATGGAGATCCAGAGTAAGAATTATTCCTCTCTTTAAGTCCTAATTGAATATAGGTCTTAATGTAAAGGAGATATTTCACTGTCTAGGAGCCTAAATTTCTCTTTTAGAAAATGAAAAAGTTTGTGATGTTATTCATCTCCCTATACTGATGTTGAATGAAGAATCTCACAAACTTCTTCCTAGTTTACCTTATGTTCAGTAGCTATAAATGCACAGACAACACTGGTTGGGTTTTTTATATATTTTTAAATAGGGAGATGCTCAAGTTGTCTTTACAGAGGCAATGCCATTATTTTATATATGCTGGTTCTTTTTAGATTATGTCCTGTGATTCATGTGTAATTGTTTCATTATAGTTTCAAAACTACGTTTCATATGTGTAATATAGTACATATTTTTATTAATCTTGATTTTATTATATGAGGGGTTGTTCATTGTGTGTATGTATTTTTATACAGAGCACTTGATATATTTGCATATTTATTTAACAGATTAATCAGAATGATAGAAAATATCATCTCTAAATTGTAACTAGAAATAGTATTGCTAAAAACACATTGAACTGTAAAATTGTAAAATAAGCTTCCAAAATAAACTTGATTCCACACTGAGGATAAACAGTAAGACCAGCTATTAGCGGGAGAGAAGTATTCGGCAGGATAGTCATGTTGACTATTTGTGATAATTTTTTCTGCTTGCAAATTCTAAGCCAGGCCGAGGTGAATGCTATGGGACCTTTTCTGCTCTGCCAGCCTTCCATAGGCTCCACAGATGCTCTGGGAGTTGGTGATCAAGTCAGCTTCCCCCCAGAAGCAGACATCAGCTTGATTCAATTTAAGATCAACCCAGTAAGACCTGCATGACTATTCTTGGCTCATTGAACCAACAGCATTTAGAGAGCACAGCACCCAGCAGGATCCAGCCCTTCCTTCAGCGTGCTGACAGACAAATTGGGTTTCGGTCTATCCTTGGTGCCTAGGAAGTATGAGGATCTCTTCTAAAAGTGCTGAGGAGGTCAGACCCTGTGATGAGCTTGTGTTAATTCTTTGTCTTGAAAAGTTTCAAATAAATGTAATCCAGACCAATGGAAATACTGTTTAAAGCAGTAGACGCATTCAGGAGAGAGATTTTATGTTTTATAACAATATGATTTTTTTTCATGAAGCAATGCAGGGTGATTGTTTCATCTGTATTTTCTTGAAGACCTCAGAAAGAGAAAAGGTACGTGACCATCATGTCTACCTGTGTGGATATTAAACCCTTACCACAATATCAGTTCCAAAATTGTGATTTTGCAGTTTTTCACATGATATGGCTTGTCTTTTGTGTGTCCCTTTTCAACAACATCAGCTTCTGTACTAATTATTTTGAAGCATATTGCCTGGAATATTATTAGGAGACAATTACCAAGTGTCTCTTTAGTGCATATCATTCTGGGTAGGGCTGGTCCTAATTATTTTTTCTGTAGATGAAGGAAAGAAATTAAATCCTCTGAAAGCTGTGTACTGTCTCAGCTTACACAGATTACGAGATATTTTGTAAGTCAGCAGTTAATGGGTTTATTTTAAGTTATATTAGGCCATTAGGCAATAATTATTTCTTAGTCTTTATTAAACAATTCAAGGGTTTGACTCCCCTGGAGTCTTTGCAAGAGATCTGATTAGTCAAATACCAGCCCTTTCGGTAACCACAGATACTGTCTAATTTTTCTCTGTGAAAGGGAGAAGGACAAAAAGGTGGCAGGAAAAGGGCTGTTAACTTAGGTGCAGTTCCAGCTATGTGGGACTGGGTGACCGGTTCTTTAAGAGTGGAAAGAGTTGTGAAAAAGTGTTTTGGGGGTGGAGCTCTGGGGAATTAGGGATGGAGGGAGGACACAAATGATGGGAAAGGAAATAAAGGGAGAGTGAAATTTCTGTACAACTACTGGGAAAGTACCTTCAACACTCCCAGGACTCTGGCACTTGAATGTTTCACAGCTCTGAGAAGGAAAAAAGAATTAGCCTTTTCCTGTGGACCTCCCCCACCTCCAAGTCATCCTCTACATTCACCACCTCCTTTGCAAACTGATTTTGAATAATTTTCCCCTGGTAGCTTATTTCTCATTATTGCTGTGCCATACTGCATTTGGCATCCACCAACACCATGCTGCGAGCAAGCAGCTGTGACAGTGAGGAGTGAGAGGCAAAGCACAAATTCAGCAAAGATGAGTAATAGTGTCTTTTGTACAGCACAGAGACTGTGCTTTTTTTCTTCCCTTTCTCACCCATTTGAGCAAGGTTAGCAACAGCAAGATTTCAAGAACATTTTGCTTCTTGCTTATCTTCCTGTTTTGCAAGTGCAGGACTGATATGGATCTTCACATAGCTGCGTAGTTTTTTTAAAAGCTGAAATTGAAGAAGCGCATCCACCATCAAAGAAGCCGTCCTGACCTCAAGACAGTTGATGATTGTTAAAGTGCAAGTAAAGCAGAGGCAGTGAAAGCTTCACATATGCTTTAAATGCAGTCTTCCATCACTTTTGTCTGGATGGGTCCAGCAAGAATTAGAAAGATTTTATCTGAGTGACACCTTCAAGGAGTCTCAGGCTTTTTATTAAAACTCCCTACTCTGCAGGCAAAATGGTTTTGAATGAACAAGTTGGGGGATGAAAACTACTTTCATACATTCTCTGCCACAAAAAGCTGTGTATTGAACACTGATGTGAATGTCTTTAATTTTATGATTTCTTTTGGAAAAAAAATTATGAAGTTTTGGATCAAAATAAGTCCACAAAGACTGTCAACTAAGAATTTTTTTTAAGGAACAGACATAGTTTCAGCTAGTTTTAATATCCCAGACAAAATCTAACCTTTTTTTTTTGTCAATTTTTTTTTGGGGGGGGGAGATTCTTCATGCCTAATGGATAATGTAGCTCTCCCTTTGTACTAAAATGCAATTCTTACAAGTAATTTATTTGCCACTAGAAAATAATGTATGTGCAAATTTACAATAAAATAGAACTATCCAAGTCTCAGATGACATAAGTGTATCTATTGGAAAACCCTCAAGCATTTTTTAGAATATTAAGGAAAAGCCTCACTGAAACACCCACTTAACTTAGAATTTAGCTCAACAGCTGCTTGCTTCTGGTGCTGAAGCTGAGGCACAGTCAAAGTTAGGGGTATGTAGGCTGGCAGTGGTAAATCAGCATATGGCTCTTAGGCAGTGGAGGCTCTGTACACCCAACAACTTTCAGGTCTGCTGAGCTTGTCCTGAAGTCCTTCTAACTCCTGGAGCAACTCAGGACAGAGGAGGATATGATAAGGCGTTTTGCACTTCTCTGGAGGCTGTAAATTTTGTACCTGGCATCTGAAAGCCTTGCCTCAAGCAGTCATATTATGGTGGGGTCAGTTTTAATACCCCTTTTGACAGTCCCACGTTGAACTGTATAAATGGTTTGGTATCATTTGGTACCAAATGGCTCTGGTACAGCAGAGTTTTTAGCTTTAAATCTAAATTTACTTGTATTCACTCATGTACATCGTCTAGCTTCTAGCACCACATACTCAAAAGGGTATTTTTCCCCTGGTTTAATCTGAAGAAAAAAAAGGTTTAGGTCATTTTCAATGAACACATTTTCCTTTGCATGAATTGAGACTCCACACTTCCATTTTTCTCAGAACAGACAGTAATAAACCGGGTAGGTTTTGCCTCATGATGGGTATTTCAGTATTTTAATTTAAGAGTTTATATTCACCACTTTTAATCAGTCTACTTTTTTTTAAAAGCAAACATCTGGTTTAGGGCTGCTGCTGCAGATTTCTAGCAGCACCTTACCATAGCTACCTCGGGGAG